ATAATCGTATACCCATTGGATGTACGAAAATACGGCTCAACACTTTAAATGTAATAAGTTCGATCGAGAAATTGCTTCAGCGAGTCTAATTTTTTTTAGTTTTTCGAAGCATCCTAACAAGGTCTAAACCGAAATATTGAAATATCTTTGCTACGACGTCACTGCAGTTAGCTTCATCGGATGTGATTGATTGACATTTGTAAATTATAATTTGATATTCAGTGAAACTTCTGTCGTTCTAGCCGATTAAAAGAGGTCAAGTGGAGTTGTAGCTATGACTTAGTACGACGATTGAAATTAATTATTTTTTAGCATGCAAGTACGAACACGGAAAAATAAATATTTTGTATTACATTTTTTTAGACGTAATACTTAAGTATCGTGTACGAATTGGCTATGATGAGTAAGAAAATAACTTTAAGCTTTTTAGTAGGTTGCTCACATTTTAATCACAGATGACTTTTCAGCTGTGCGAGCCACAACCAAATTTGGTAATTTTTTTAGCAAAAAAAAATTCTGCATAAATAGGTTTTTAAGGTGAATATTAAAAGTTTTAAGATTGTCAAATACACCACATAATTTGTTTAGTCACTGATCAGATGCTGCAACGTCGAAGTAAAAGATAATGGACCGTTGGTGGCCGAAATAAATTTCGGAAGCATGTTGCGCTTACAATAAATTAGCTATTTACAAGTACGACTGAAATTAAAATTATTCTAAAAATTTCAACAACAGTTACTCATGTTATAATTCGTAGCCAAAAGAAGATAGGGAATATAATCCCGACAATACTTAGTATTAGTATTGTCAGTATTTAGTTAGTAGTAGTAGTAATTAAAATTAAATTAATTAATTAAATTAGTAGTAGTAGTAATTAGTAATTAGGTAATTAGTAAGTCATTTAGTTCATAAGCTCGGAACAAAACTCAAGTTTAGTTTGAACTGATTATCTCTTATGCTTGAGCTGATCGTTATGAAAAGTAATTACAAGTGTAATTACTTTCAGATAACGATCAGTATAAACACCAATAACAGCTCGTCTGATACATGGCCGAACCATGAAAGATTTGAGATGAATGATGCGTTTTTAGAGCATACCTAATAGTTGAACAAAGTGTTTTTAATTCATGATACAAACATAGACCAAAGGTTGAGAAACAAAAAACCAAAACGTGCATTAATAAAGAAATGACCAATAATGCTTGGCTATCGGGGCATCAGAACATAAATATGTGGAATAATCAGGAAAATTCATGAGTTTCTGAATTTAATACTCAAATTTCAATCCATTCAGGGAGCGGAGATTTATTGAATTTTTGCCGGCTGCTACAAACGCTGATCGATGAAACAACGGGTAAGTGCGATGCATTCTAGTCACCATAGTGAACCCCGGAAAACAAAAGACGGAAGTATAGCGCATTAGTCACTGTGGTGACAATTACCGTTCGAAAAAGAACAGAGATTAGTTAAACATTGTAGTTACTTAAGTTAATAAATATTAGAATAGTTAATAACTCAATTGTTCGTTCAACTAAAAAAACATCTATGCGGCATTCATGGTATTTGAGAAAAATTATTGCGGGATATGGTATCTAAGATTTCAGAAGTTACTGACACAGAAAAGCGGCGAATGGTAAAATGCGCGGTGCCAAAACGTGATGGAAACCATCCTGCTCCTCGAGTTGAATCTTTGAACAAAAGTTCTGTGCCTCCGTTGACTCGTCAAACTTTGTATTTACAGACACAAGGCATTTTGCTGCTATTCAAATTGAAACTGACTTTCTGCAACATGATCCAGACACCTGGAACATCATTGAATATTACTTCGGGATCACTAACTTAGAGAGATAAAATCAGTCCTTGCTTCAGGTCGACCCACAAAATTTAGTTTACCTGCACAGTTTAGCGTACTTAGAAATTGTTGCCGCAATTGTTGTAAGCCTGGTTTGTTGAAACTCAACATTTATTGTACAACGAGTACCTACACTGTTTTGGATTTGCGTAATTTTTGTTATATTCACTCTGTCTATTAGGTCTAAAAAATATGGACCATGCATGAGACCGTAAATAATCCATTATTTATGTCTATCTTGCACCCTGCTGTCTAAGTTTCGTATAATAATAAAGATGCTGCAGCGCCTGAGCAAACAGAAAAATCAATTCACGATCTAAATCATTGGAATATCAGTGAGCCGAAAATTTCGCTTTCAACGGTTGTCCATGACAGACAACCAGAAAATAACGATAAGCTCGACTGTATCTGAGTTTCTTGCTCTGATATCGAGATCGCCCCACTCAGGGGCCCAAAATGCCCGATGTTAGCTGGACTTGATGTACTATGAATGCATATATCCTTTCATTCAGAAACTCTTATCATTTAGGCAATAATCAAGTGTGAAAACTTGAGGGGTCGATAACTGACGTAAAAATAAAGTTTGAGAAACAACAAGAGAAGGAAACGCCGACATGATATCTGATAGTTTTATTTGAATACTTATTAAGGCAAATAGGTGATAGGTGCTAGTAACATAATTTTTAAGAGTTTGAATTTATATTATAGTTGTGACGTCAATATTTTTAAAGCATATTGAATACCTCATACTGCTTCACTTATTCCAAACTTAAAAGTAAAAGAGGAAAAATCCTTGCTCGCACCCAAGTGTCTCGCATGTTATTATGGCTAAGTATTGTCAATACAACTTTTGGAATAGTAAAAACTTGCAATAGCGAAAAATATCAGTGAAAATTCTTTAAAATAACAATGAAATTATATATCACTATATTAAGTAAATAGACTGACTTTGCGGATATATCACACGTGCAGTTAATTTATTCCTAACGCAAGAAATGGTGTCGAAATAGCAATAGAAATAGTGATAATAAAAATAGTGTCGGTAAGCTGCCTGTCACTCAAAAGATTTGGGACAGAAATGCACTGATGGATCGATTGTGAACTGGAATCTGCTGTACGATTGAGCATTTTTTCATTTGCTATTCAAAACGATTTATTTCGAGACAAATTTCGACATAATTACTGATATATTATGAATTTTCAATTCAAAATAATTCACACACTCAGCCATGCAAATTGATCATGTCGTCGCGTATGTGTCACAGGTTGCATCTTAGCGCAATATCTCATAATCAACTAACTTTAATCTATACGGAATTTTGCATACCAATTATAATTCACGTCGTGGTTCATAAGCAAAAACAATACTAGAAGAATCTAAAATACGCGCCAACGTCCTAATAAGAATTAAGTATATATTAGCAAGTTTTCAATTTTAATTCTTTTTAACATTCTTCGAAAACAGCTAAACATTTGCGTAACAGCTAAATAAATACTCGGCTGAGCAATAATTCTCACTTAACCCTTGTCGACCAGCGTAGATATAACAAATGTACACGCACTGTGTACGATTTCAATGTTGCAAATTGTTCAGTCGAAAGAGTATTAAACAACATGCAGAACAGTATGTCTAATTGTGAGATTAGTCGGCTCGGATAACGCGTAGTTCGTTTACCTGGAAGTCATCCGAGGACACAGTTTTCAAGTTCAGATACTGACCAGGAACTGGAGCTGGGAGTTTTATTACACTCAATCCCGACAAATCTCCAGAAAGAGTTGCTATTACTGCGTTGCTGGTTTCAGTAGATGAGTTCCCCAAACGAACTACAACTGTTTTAAAATACTCTGCGATATTCGTAGCATGAACTATGCTCACTTCAGCCACTTTGACTGCCGACCCAAAGTTAATCTGCAGGAAGTAAGTTGAAATTAGAGCACATTGTATAAGACATCGTGGGATGTAAGAGGGTTTAGTTTATTGATATTGATATTAAAATGTAGGGGGTAAGGGAACATTCTGGTTTGTTGAAATAACGCTTTCTATTTTTGTCTGAACAAACAGAAAATCAATTCACGTTGTAAATCATTGGAATGTGTTTAAGCCGAAAATTTCCCGCTCAACGGTTGTCCATGACAGAAAACCAGAAAATTACGATAAGCTCGACTGTATCTGAGTTTTTTGCTCTGATGTATCGAGATCGCCCCACTCAGGGGTCCCAAGTGTCCGATGTTGGCTGGACTTGATGTACTATGAATGCATATATCCTTTCAGGCAGAAACTCTTATCATTTAGGCAATAATCAAGTGTGAAAACTTGAGGGATCGAAAACTGACGTGAAAATAGAGTTTGAGAAACAACAAGAGAATGAAACGCCGACATGATATCTGATAGTTTTATTTGAATACTTATTAAAGCAAATAGGTGATAGGTGCTAGCAAGATCTAAGTTTTAAGAGAATAAATAACATTGTGGTTATGACGTCAATATTTTTGACGCATATGGAATACCTCATAAAAAATATTGACGTCATAACATTGTGGTTATGACGTCAATATTTTTGACGCATATGGAATACCTCATACTGCTCCACTTATTCCAAACTTAACATTAAAATCGCGAAAATCCTTGCTCACAACCAAGTGTCTTGCATGTTATTATGGCTAAGTATTGTCAATACAACTTTCGTAATAGTAAAAACTGGCAATAACGAAAAATATCAGTGCAAATTTTTTAAAAATATCAATGAAATTTTATATTACTGACATACTGTATATAGCAAATAAACTGACTTAGCGTTTATGTCACACGTATAGTTAAGTTATTCGTAGCGAAAGAAATCGTGTCGTAATAGCAATAGGAATAGTTTTGATAAAAATAGTGTTAATAGGGAAAGTGTTAATAGGAATAGTGTTAAGAGATATAGTGTTAATAGAAATATTGTCGGTAAGCTGCCTGTCAATCAAAAAAATTTGGGACAGAAATGCAATGATGGATCGATTGTGAACTGGAATCTGCTATACGATTGAACATTTCTTCATTTGCTAGTCAAAATTATTCATTTCAAGACAAAATACCAACATGATTACTGATATATTGTGAATTTTATCGGTCCAAAATAATTCACTCTCTCAACCATACAAATTTATGATGTCGTGGCGTATNGACCTCTCAATCGACGGTGAGCTCTCTACCTTCTTCGAAGACTACGAATTCAACTTGATCAACGCCATTGACGATACTGAAAGCATCGACGATGTTGACATCACCACCTACGTGTCTCGCCTCAACCACAAGGACTTCTCCTACAACATCGGAGTCACAGCTAACGCTGATGAGGTGGCAACCGTACGCATCTTCCTGTGCCCCAAGTTGGACTCGAACGGCATCGAGTATACCCTCGACGAGGCTCGATGGGGCTGCATCCAAGTCGACAAATTCTGGACTAGTCGTAAGTATTCAACTAAAAAAGATACTGGCATATACTGTACTCATAATTTTCTTCGATTCACGATCGATTTCTAAAATTCATTAACAATGGTTTTACTTACAGATTTTTAGACGTAATACCTGTCTCTTATACACATCTTCCGGTCAAATGACACTATTTTAGATCTTCTGTGAACAAGACACGAAAAGTTAAAGAATCGGCGACAGGCCACATCAGGCCTACACTGCAGCGCCGAGATCACTGTTATGTTATAACAAATGTACACACACATGTACGATTGCATTGATGCCAAATTGTTCAGTCGAAGGAGGATTAAACAACATGCAGAACAACATAACTAGTTGTGTTATTAGTCGGCTCGGATAACTTGTACCTCATTTACCTGGAAGTAATCTGTGTTCATAGACCTCAGGTGTAGGAACTGACCAGGAACTGGAGTAGGGAGATTTATTATACTTATGAATCCCGACAAAGCTCCAGGAGCTAGAGTCGCTATTATAGCGGTGTTGGCTTCAATAGATGAGTTCCCCAAACGAACTACAACTGATTTAAAATACTCAGCGTTCGTAGGATGATTTATGATCACTTCAGCCACTTTGACTACCGACCCAAAGTTAATCTGTAGGTAGTTTGGTTGACTGCTCGAAGCAATGAAGATGTACTTTGGCCATGCATAGCCACAGTAGTACCCATCAATGGCATTGATGGGAAGAGTACCCTGGTGCCCTGGACTCCCAGATACGGTCATGTTGCTCCTGATGATGTCTCGTGCGTCAGCCCAGGACGAGTAGCAAGTCTTGAAGGTGGCGGTGTTGCTGGAGGGCGTCACGCCGGGGAACCATTGCGACACGAAGCACTCCAGGAGGTCGCAGCTCATCGTGCCTGAGGTGAATTGTACGTGAGAAAGAAGCACGAACGACGAGACAAGTTGATGTTAAAGGTCCGCAAAAGAGAGACATGAGACATAGTGACATATTCGCTCCGAAGTGTTTCGACATTTATGATGAATAAAATACTCCCAATACAAAATAACTGAAGATTGCTGAAGCTGAAACTCCTATTCTAAACTGAATACCGAGTGTCGCGAACAATATTACTGGAATGACATTCATTCATTTCACTAATGACTTATTTGCACACCTGAATTGAAGCAAAATAGCCTGCAGTTATCTCTCAACATGCACTGCTTGCCGCAGTCGAAGAGAGCCAGCGAGTTGTCAGGGTAGGATGACATGTCGACATTTCCGAGGAGGCAGCTCTTGTGGAACGTTTTTGCCTGGACCTAAAAAAGGGGCAGGAGCTGATGATGCTTTAGGCTGAGATGCCAGTATTCATTTTTGGAATAATATTTAGAAACTTTATTCTGCGGCCCGAATAGCAAAAATTATCTGTTGAGAGATTTGTAGTCTAGGAGTCGGTAAAGTCGGTCGCGTAATTGACGGTAAAGACGTTCGAGAGATACTTTAAAGTAATTTTTGACTGGTAAATTAGGTGTCAGACAGTTATGTTGGGTACCGTACTGTTGAACGAGTAGTTCCATCAGAGCTCGCTTCAAAATTTTTGCACTTTTGCACTTATGAGTTGAGTGAGACACATCAAAGTAACAGCAAATAGCGAGTGATTATAAATAAATCTGCTGCAACTCTAGGTATAGCGGTCTGTTGCAAATCTATGTATAGCGGTCTGTTGCAAATCTAGGTTAAAGAATTCGCCTGCTCCAATCATCTGGCTATTGACCCAGATCGTATTTAATCCCTGTTTTGCTTGCAACACATATGAAAATATTAGATATTAAAATCAATTATGATTAAAACTTATTGATAGATAAATACCGGCAGAAATTGTTGCTGCTGGTAGCCAGATTCACCGCACGAGAGGATGTCGAGTAGAGTCACCACGTATAAGGTGATTCTAATGGTAGTTCTTATGCTCATGTTGAGTTGTGGTCAGTTCCTGCACGAGTTGAACAAAATAGAGGTTACGTAAATAACATTGATTCGGGGTTATGTTCAGTTAATACGAAATAATAAATTTAAAAAATAATAATAAACTTTAAATGATCGATTAACGAACATGTTATTTCAACGATATCATTTGCTTAAGGTTATTTTAAGCTTTAGATAATCAAGAGACTACACAGATCGAACTTCAAATTCCTGGCTTTATTTTTGTGCCCAAAGTAAATTTGATGCCAAGAAGTTTCAAGTTTAACTGCCGTAGAGGTACCTATACATTTCATTTAAATCTTGTAACTGGCTCAAAGATTCCAATGAAATTCCAAATTTCTTCTATCTTAAAAAACATTGTGTAATATTTCACGACAAACTCAAAAATTGAATGAAAATGATGTTTCTGACTGCACCATCCGTACCTTGGTCTCGGGGTATCACGCCAGTGAAGTAGCAGACGCCAGACGCTGTGTCGTCAATGCTTCCACCATCACCTCCAGCGTGACTCTGAACTAAGGAGATTAATTTTACCGCAGCTCTTGCATGTGCTTCAAGAGCCACAACTAACTCGTCGATATGAACTTTCGGCGAGTAATATCCGATGTTGTGGTGATTGCTAAAACAATTCTAGTTAACTAAATTGTCTGTCCGAGAACGTCTGAATACAGGGATAGTAATTTGTTTCTCAATTCATCCACTGTTAATAGTGTTAAATCGCAACATTGTACCAAATTAGTTTTCATTTTAACCTTCAGAATTCCATTTTTTTCGTTCTTATCATTTGCTCGCGATTTAAGACAAAAAACTCCTGCATTGGACTGTCCTATCAAATTTTCTGTGGCCATAAAAATTTGCGAAGGTCGGAATGGAACGAAATATATTACAATATTGCCGAAATATCAACAAAATATTCAAATTATGTCGGCTGCCTTGCGTGCTGGAGGCATAACGGGCAGTAAGTTAATAAGTAATACTCAACGGTACTCTAGATTGTTAATAAGTAATACTCAACGGTACTCTAGAGTCTAGATTGAACAAGTTCGCTTTTGTAGTGAGCGGTCGGCTAAGATTGGACGATATCTGTTGTTGATACTGCATGGTAGTATGTGCTGGTGTGGGAATGTCTTCATTGTAGTGATGCCCCGCATGTTATTCATGTGTTTCACAACATTGGTTTAGAAGGGATTACAATGATTCATTTCATTTATATTCTGCGTGCAATTATTTGATTTCCAAAGATATATTTGAGAGCAGAGCACATCTGAGATTGCGTGTCACAATTTAAATTATTTTTCTTTGCACTTGACTAAGATTGAAATCTGTTACAGCAAAATTTCGAGATGGGTAACGTGAAGGTGA